GCATTCCTGGCAATTCCACACCTGTCTTGGATAGGACGGGCTAACTCAGTGAAAATGACCATCCTGCCTAAATTGTTATATTATTTTCGCACTCCCCCAGTGTGGGTTCCTCCTTATTTCCTTCAATTAATTCAGGCAAGGATTATGTGATTTATCTTGGCTGACAGGCACCCCAGAGTCTCCAGGAATACACTTTTTGTCCATAGACTCCAGGGAGGTCTAGGGGTGCCTAATGTAACTAAGTATTATCAGGCAAGCCAGATTACCCTGATGTCTATTTTGCATGCTTCCTCTGACGTTACTCTCTGGGTCCTGCTGGAACTACCCAATTGTGCGCCTATGGTGACATCAACACTTCTATGGCTCTCTCCTGCCCTACGCCCTATGACACTGAGTCAGATTTTGCTCCAGGGCCTACAAGTGTGGGACTCAGTACGCTACTCCAATGGCTTGATGTCACCTTTTCTACCTTTGCTCCCAATTATTAACAATCCTCTCTTTCCATCGGGTTTGGATCAACCAAGGGCGTTCTCTTGGTGGGTGGCCAATGGTTTTTCTCAGGTGTGACTCTTTTTGCTTTCTCGGTCCTTCCACACCTGGAATTCTCTTCAGGAGTCACAGGATGTCCCTCAGGCAGAATTTTTCCGCTACCTCCAATTGCGGCATTGGCTGACCTCACTGCGGGGCTCTTCCGCTTTCCTGCATCAGAAATCTGACTTTGAACAGCTTTGCCAATAGGGCCTTATTTCCCTACTTTATGCATCTTTGAATAGATGCTCAATGCGTACTTCTCTCTCATATGTCGCTCAGTGGGAGCACGACTTGGGGGCGGTCGTGGATCTGGATGACTGTAATAGAGGCTGGTCATTTATAGCTAAATGTTAATTTAATACAACCATGCTGAAGGTGGCATACAAAGTATTGTTTCATTGGTATTGGGTCCCGGCTCGTTTGGCCCAGGTGAACCCTGCCTGCAGTGATCGATGCTTTCGGGGTTGTGGTCATCGTAGAGATGTGTTGCATATATAGTGGTCATGCCTGAAACTGATTCCTTTTTGGTCTTGTGTGTTTGGCATGCTTTTCACTTTGTTCCATCTCTCCATACGCCGGGATGCTCGGTATGCTTTGCTTCATTGTGCCATACAGGGCCTGTTGGCTCACCAGCAGAAGGTGGCTTCTTATTTGTTCTTGTCAGCAACTAGAACAATTGCTTAGGCAGGGAAGAGCCCCTCTGTCCCTCTTCAGGGGGTGCGGAACCATATGACCACTCTGATGCTTAATGAACAGATGTCGAGTATCTGAAACTACTCTCAATGGAAATGTTTGAAAATATGGTGGTTGACATTTGTCTTTCCCACGCTCCCCCCGGCTAGTCTGGGTTTGTGATGTTGTTCGATATTGGAGTTCCCGGAGCTGGAAGTGGGAGTGGGCACCTGTCAAAAACAGGTATCCGCTCCCCCCAAAAAGGTGCCAATTATGACAGTGGAAGGGGGGGAGGCAAATAAGCGGAGCTTCCGCTTTTGAGTGGAACTCCGTTTTAAGGGCAGGCCAGATTCTGAAGTGAAAACAGAGAGACCAAATCTTAGCACAAAAAGTAAACAGTAGCAATTAATGTGTCATTAATCATCAGATAATCTACCTTAGCTGCAAAAATTAGACCAGACCCTGGTAGGGCCTGAAACGACGGAGTCCATGTCCACCAAGGATAAATAATGAGGTAGAGATGGAGCCAGAATAGGGTGCCGGACTCATTGAATCAGCCTGAGCCTCCCATCAACAAATCCATTGTAAATAAAGTTTGTCAGTGTTCATTATAACATTCTCCGAGCTAAGCATATCAGAGGATAAAATAATGCTAAGCTGTAAAAAAGGCTAGTGGTTTGAGGGAGCAAGTAAAAAACATATTTTAATGGTGCTGTCCTTAGAAGTGCTAACTATTTAGCCACTGTGCTACCCAGTAATTGCAGCTTAATTGTTATTGACACCCCAATCGTGTTTTCAGATGTGTCTTTTTGCTGAACGACAAAATGTGCTGCAAATGAGCACATAAAAAAATGACATTCCACGACTGTAAACATTCTAGAGCTACTTTGGGGCATTTGTCATGCGTAGGGCAGCCCATTCAAGTGCATATAATGGAAATAATGTATACCAGCGCACCTACAAATGTGATATAGCAGCTGTACACCAGGTAACCATAAACCCAATAAAACAATAATTTATATCATTCAAGTGCATAGCCTGCCCTATGAGCAATGGAAGTTTGCTCTCAAAAAATGCACAAAAAACATGCGTTTCCACTATGCTACTAAATAAGTTTTTAGGCAACAAGAATGACCAGGGAGGAAAAGTGAGGGTTAAAAAAAAAAAACACTGATCCATCAAAGTCCTATAGGAATGCTTTTTATCAGTAAAACCGCTTTGAAGTCCTCTAAAGTCTATTGTGAACCAGGATTGAAACCTGTGTTTCCGTATAAATAATTGTTACATAAAAAAAGATACTGTCACACAGCCAAAACATACATGTACAGCACAATGTTGCAGTAAACAGATACAAAGTGAATACAAAGTCTTTCAATAATAAAAATATTTACAGTATCTCACAGAAGTGAGTACACCCCTCACATTTTTGTAAATATTGTATATCTTTTCATGTGACAATACTGAAGAAATGACACTTTGCTACAATGTAAAGTAGTGAGTGTACAGCTTGTATAACAGTGTAAATTTGCTGTCCCCTCAAAATAACAACACGCAGACATTAATGTGTAAACCGCTGGCTACAAAAGTGAGTACAACCATAGTAACCCCTGTTAATGATGTCAGTGGAAGAAATAGTAACCCATTGTTGGTGTCAGTGGGGAGAATAGTGCCCCATTGTTAATGATGTCAGTGGAAGAAATAGTAACCCATCGTTGGTGTCAGTGGGGAGAATAGTGCCCCATTGTTAATGATGTCCGCGGAAGGAATAGTAACCCATCGTTGGTGTCAGTGGGGAGAATAGTGCCCCATTGTTAATGATGTCCGCGGAAGGAATAGTAACCCATCGTTGGTGTCAGTGGGGAGAATAGTGCCCCATTGTTAATGATGTCCGCGGAAGGAATAGTAACCCATCGTTGGTGTAAGTGGGGAGAATAGTGCCCCATTGTTAATGATGTCAGTGAAAGGAATAGTAACCCATCGTTGGTGTCAGTGGGGAGAATAATGCCCATTGTTAATGATGTCAGTGGAAGGAATAGTAACCCATCATTGGTGTCAGTGGGAGGAATAGTGCTCCATTGTTGGTGTCAGTGGAAGGAATAATGATCCATCGTTGGTGCCAGTGGGGAGAATAGTGCCCCATTGTTAATGATGTCAATGGAAGGAATAGTAACCCATTGTTGGTGTCAGTGGGGAGAATAGTGCTCCATCGTTAATGTCAGTGGAAGGAATAGTGATCCATCGTTGGTGTCAGTGGGGAGAATAGTGCCCCATTGTTATTGATGTCAGTGGAAGGAATAGTGAGCCATCGTTGGTGTCAGTGGAAGGAATAGTGAGCCATCGTTGGTGTCAGTGGAAGGAATAGTGAGCCATCATTGGTGTCAGTGGAAGGAATAGTGCCCCATTGTTAATGTCAGTGGAAGGAATAGTGAGCCATCGTTGGTGTCAGTGGAAGGAATAGTGCCCCATTGTTATTGATGTCAGTGGAAGGAATAGTGAGCCATCGTTGGTGTCAGTGGAAGGAATAGTGATCCATCGTTGGTGTCATTGGGGAGAATTGTGCCCCATTGTCAATGATGTCAGCGGAAGGAATAGTGAGCCATCGTTGGTGTCAGTGGAAGGAATAGTGCCCCATTGTTAATGTCAGCGGAAGGAATAGTGAACCATCGTTGGTGTCAGTGGAAGGAATAGCGCCCCATTGTTATTGATGTCAGTGGAAGGAATAGTGAGCCATCGTTGGTGTCAGTGGAAGGAATAGTGATCCATCGTTGGTGTCATTGGGGAGAATTGTGCCCCATTGTCAATGATGTCAGCGGAAGGAATAGTGAACCATCGTAGGTGTCAGTGGAAGGAATAGTGAGCCATCGTTGGTGTGTAAATCTGAGCTCCTCTTTCACAGCACGTGGCTACGGAGGTAACACACACCACATGTGCGCACCAAGGATAATAGACAACATTTCCTGAAGACTTGTGCGCGCCCACATTCCTATAGTGGCCCCTGACTCCCCCCTGACAGGTTCCCTTTAACCACACACTTCCTTTAAGCTCCAGCAATGCCCGAGCCAGGTGAAAAGGGCGGAGCCGAGTGGCACGCGGATGACCTCACGTCACAGGCCCGACCAATACTGCCTTCGTGACATCATGGACTGGGAAGCGGACGCCCCCAGGCTGGCTCCTCCCATTGATCCTCAGCACCCCGCTCAATCCCTCCCAGTCCCCGAACTCCCCGCCGGGACCAATCAGAGCGGCAGCTCGGCGAGGGAAAGGCGACGGATGAGGCCCGCACGGTCGGGCATTATGAAAGACCTCGCCGCCAGCCCTTCCGGTGAGTGAACGGGACGTCTGGGGGGGATGTCACGGAGGGAGGCGGTTGGGAAGCAGCCACGGGCCGCCGGTGGCCTCTTTAGGCCGCTCTACCCGAGATGCCTTGAGAGAGGAAGTGAGGCCATCTTTTCTCTGGTGACAATAAACAAGCGGAGAGTGGCCTTTCCGGAGTGCAGATCCAGGCAGGGGCCTTGTTAGAGCCGGGGGTGGGAGCAGGAAGCAGGCTGTCCAGAGATTACATGTGTGCTGTGTTCATGTTCCCCTCAGGTTTATCGTCCCCCAACCCTCCCGCTCAGGAGGTCAAGGCAGAGGGAAACAGCAGCTCCAAGAAGAGAAAGTTGAATAACAGTAACAGCAGTGAGAAGGACGACTTGGACTCCATCGCCCCCCAGAAGAACTCCTCATCCTCCTCCAACCACATCCAGAAGAAGCTCCGCTTTGACGACAGCCTGGACTTTCTAGGACTCGATGTGAAGATGGCTGAGGAGTCTCCCTCCTCCTCGTCTTGTTCTTCTGCTGCCCCCCAACCCCTGAGGAGTAAGAACCTGCTCATCTCCCCCGTGGCTGCCGGCCATCATGCCAATGGGCTCACCAAAGCCTCCCCCGTCTCCAGCTTTGCCAACAGCAAGCCTGGATCCGCCAAGAAATTAGTCATCAAGAACTTCAAAGGTAGAACCAGTTCCACTGTCTCCCACAAATGTGTGTTTGGGGGTCTGTGTAGCTGATCGGGTGAGTTCTCGGTGGGAATGCCGCCTCAGAGTGTATGTATAATCAGGAATGGAAGTGCTTCTAAACTTCAGGGGTTTTTTATCTTCAAGTGGAACTTAATCAGAAAATGAAGTCCTTCTAGATGACTTCAGGCTGGCATAGCTGTGTAATGCTATGTATACTGTTTAAATCCAGTAATACACTGTCTCACCCTGCTCTGCACATGCCCAGTTGCTCTATTTTTAGGTACCATGCTGAATTTGTAGAGGCCCATCTGTTGACAGTTTAAAGATTAAATTGGAACTAAACTCAGCGATTTAACAGTTTCCAATAACCGTTCCATTTGTGGCATGCCAGGAATGCTGTTATGTCTTGCTTGTATTTTCATCCAAACTGTCAAACCATGAAATGATTGGTGCTATACACTGATCACGTACAGCCCTATGGCAGTTGCAGATCAAACAGATGGCAGCTTCCTTGGCGGAAAAGTATAGGAGGGTTTAGTTTTGTTTTAACTGCCAATCAGGGGTCTGGGCTTCAACAAAATGGCAGCCTTCAGCAAGAAGAAGCAGGAGCGATGCTGGAAGCAATTTGCAGCAGACACTCATTCTGATTGCATAATTATTAATCTGGAAAGTGTGTTCCTTTCTAAAGAACATTATTTTTTTTAAATCAATTATCATGAATAAAGTTCTGCTTTAAAGTGTTTACCTAAAGGTGACCTGACACCAGATCTCTCCTGGGGGCCCACTATGCTTATCTCCTTTTGCTTCTGAGCTGTTAGGGCTCCCTCAAGCCACTCCACAGATCCAGAGATTTTTGAAATCCTTACTGCTTTCTCTTCACTTCCTACTGTCCTAACAGCATAGACTAGATGGATTCTGATTGGCTAGTGGCATCCATGTGACGGTGCTGACCAGTTAAAACCCATCTGGTCTATATCAGCAGTGCAGTATGGAAAGAAGAGAGCGCAGGGATTTCAAATCCTTGTATTGGTGGAGCAGTTTGCAGGAGCTCTGACAGCTTAGAATCATGGGAGGAAGGGACAGTGGGTGGGGGGGGGAGGGGATTTGGAGTTTCTGGTGTTTGTTCACCTTCACAAATTTTCTTTAAAGTATAACTAACACTTTAAAATGGTTGTAAGCCTGAAATCTGAACAAAGCACATCCTTCTATACTGTGTACTTGTCTCTGTGCAAAGCTCTGAGTGTGATAGAAGTTGACGGGAGGAGAGCTCAAGCACACAGCCTGTGATTGACAGCCTCTGCTGTGCTTGTTCTTCGGAGGGGGGGGGTCTCTTCCCTCAAATCAGAGCTCTTCTTCTTTAGCTGTGCAGTGTGTGAGTTCAGATCCCCACCTCCGGCCTTGTGCTGCTGGAAGATGCTGACAGATTTTGTGTAAATTCTGTATGTTGTAGAAGGCTGTACAGGACAGATGACATGTCCGCAGATAAACAGGTACAACTTGTATAGGAAGATTTGTATTATCTGTGTCACCTGAAAGGTGTTCTAATCCTCACCACTCTATCCGATATAAAAAAAAAAGTTTTGCTTTAAGCTAAAAATTCACCCTACTAGTCCCCCCACCTCTCCTTACACACTTCCCTGACACTTCTCACGCCTTGCTCTTCTCTCTTCTTGGCTACACTGAGAAAAGTAGTAGCCATAGGCTACTGCCGGTATCAGTCAGATCCAGTGAGGAGGGAGTGGGGTATGTGACCAAGCCGCACTTTGTGTGTCTTTATTGATTCACACAGTCCAGCTCAGTAGTGCACCCATGCAGGTGCCCCCATAGCACATGGCTTGCTATGGGGGCATTTGGAAGAGAGGAGGAGTGGATAGTGCCAGCGGGGGACCACCAAAGAAGAGGAAAGGGATGGTTCTGTGCAATATTGTTGCATAGAGCAGGTAAGAATAACGTGTTTTTTTTTTTTTTTTTTTTTTTTTTTTTTCTTCAAATTAAAAAAGATGAGTTTAATATCACTTTAACGTGTGTGCTGTGGCTGGTCATTGCAATGTCTTCTGTCTGGTCTCTATTTCATTGCCACTTACAACAGGAGACCTGCATTTTTCTGCATCCGTAAAAGGCGAGCCTGCAAAGAAAACACTTGTTTTCTATGTGCACATTCACACTGCACCATTCCCTCACTGCCTGGAAAACAGATAGCAGCCCTCATGCTACAATGGAGCATTGTAGCATGCAGGCAGTGCGAATGTGCCCAAAGTCTCTGAATCTATCTGTTGATCCTGCCACAGAAATTTGTAGGAATCCAAAACCTGTACTCTTGTGACAGTGCTGAAGCACGGTCCCTGAATTTTCCAGCAGCACAGTCACTCTTTTGTGAGGTGTTGCTCTCTAAAGTTACAACTGTATATTCTGGTGTTAGCTCTTCCTCTTAAAAAGAGCCATTGGATACCACTGTGGGAGCCGTAGTTTGAGGTACTTTCCACATGTCTGAGATGAGATCTACAGGTGCTGATGCAGCCCAGCCTTCAAAACACTTAAGAAAATACACTATATTGCCATAAGTATTGGGACACCCCTCCAAATGATTGGATTCAGGTGTTCCAATCACCTCCATGGCCACCGGTGTAAAAAATCAAGCACTTATGCAGGCCGTAGACGGTTAATTTTTCGGCCGTAAAACGAAAAGTCGGTCGTTCTGTTGCCACCAATGATTGTGAAAATTTGCAGTTTTTCGCAAATTTTCCAGCATGACCGATAAAAGAAATGAGGAACCGCAAAAATCGGCTGATGACATTGCCCCACTAACGGTGCGAAAATCGACCGATTATTCTTCCAGATGAAAATTTGGGCGATAAACGAACCGTCTGTGGCCTGCATAAGGCATGCAGACTGCTTCTACAAACACTTGTGAAAGAATGGGTCGCTCTCAGGAGCTCAGTGAATTTAAAGATTTCCTTTCTACTAAATATTCCACCATCACAGTTCGCAGAAGTCGCCAACTATCTGCAGAGTCAATAGCTAAAGACCTCCAAACTTCGTGTGGCCTTCAAATTAGCACAACGACCATGCGTAGAGAGCTTCATGGAATGGGTTTCCATGGCCGAGCAGCTGCATCCAAGCCTTACATCACCAAGTGCAATGCAAAGCGTCGGATGCAGTGGTGTAAAGCATGTCACCACTGGACTCTAGAGCAGTGGAGACATGTTCTCTGTATTGACAAATCACTATTCTCTGGCAGTCCAATGTGTCTGGGTTTGGCGGTTCCCGGAGGAATGGTACATGACTGACTGTATTATGCCAAGTGTACAGTTTGGTGGAGGGGGGATTATGGTCTTGGGTTGTTGTTTAGAGCTTGGGCTTGGCCCATTAATTCCAGTGAAGGGAACTCTTATGAAGTTGGCATACATTTTGGACAATTTCATGCTCTTAACTTTGTGGGAACAGTTTGGGGATGGCCTCTTCATGTTCCAACATGACTACTTACCAGTGCACAACACAAGGTCCATATAGACACGGATGAGCGAATTTGGGGTGGAGGAACTTGAGTGGCCTGCACAGAGTCCTGAGCTCAACCCGATAGAACATCTTTGGGATTAATTAGAGCGGAGACTGTGAGCCAGGCCTTCTTGTCCGACATCAGTGCCTGACCTCTCAAATGTGCTTCTGGAAGAATGGTCAAACGTTCCCATAGACACATTCCTAAACCTTGTGGACAGCCTTCCCAGAAGAGTTGAAGCTGTTATAGCTGCAAAGGGTGGGCCAACTCAATATTGAGCCCTACGAACTAAGACTGGGATGCCATTAGTTTGCATGTAAAGGCAGGCGTCCCAATACTTTTGGCAATATAGTGTATATTTTATGAAATGGAATAGAGCAAACCACTACAGTACATGACACTGTATGAAAGAACTACGAGGTTTGCATTCCTTTTGGTCTCCTTTTACACACCAACTGGGGTGAAAAATATCCTGTATGAGGTGAATGCCAATAATAATAATCAGGTTATGAATTTATTTATTACACAAACCTATTTTGTTTCCCCTATGTTTTACATGAAGACCTGGCTAGGGACAGTTGCTTTTGGGATAAACCATTTACATTGGCAAGGGTGCTTTGCAGGCCCCGGACTGGCCCTAGGGCACACCGGCATTTGCCTGGTGGGCTGGGTTCTCCGGGCAGCATGTCCTAAGCATGATCAATCCTACACCCCGCCATGTAACGGCTCACACATGGCAATGATGGACAAGGAGCGGGATGCTGACGCCAGGGGTGGACTGACCATTTGACACTCAGGCACTGCCCGAGGTCCTGGGGTCAGTAGGGGGCCCCATGACAGTCTTCTGGAGGGATGGGGCAGGATGGATGGAGTAAGCAGGTTCTGGCTCCGGTCCTGAGAGGATAGAGAGAGAGACTGACAGAGACCGAGCGAGCCCGAGGAGGTAGACACTTTCCGCTTCGGTGAGAACTCAGGCTGTAACACTGGGAGGAAGGGTTGGAGAGCTGTGTGTATGGGGGGGGGTCTGTATTTTATTTAGAGTTGGGTGCTGTGTGTGTTCTGGGGAAGGAGGGGGGGTGCATTGTACCATAATGGGAGACCCTTCATGTGTTCTAAGAGGGGGAAGGGAGAACTTGAACTCTGTTCACCTAGGTGAAGTGGGAACGGGTACCTGTTCAAAACTAGGTACCTGCCCTCCAAACCCCCCCTAAAAAAAAATGATATGCCAAATGTGGGAGGGGAGGAGAACTTAAATTGCAACTTCACCTTTTATATGGAGTTCCTCTTTAAGGAAGAAAGATAAGCATTGGCAGCCTCCATATTTTTCTTTCTTACCAGGTTCAGTTTAAAGAGCCACCAGCCTATTTAGGGCAGTGTAACTGTGTATGTATAAAACTCACCCCCAACCCACTGATCTTCTTCATTGATCCACTGCCACTTTTTCTCCACAGCTATTGGGATCTATATTTACCTCAATCCAGTGGCCCCGGGTTCTAGAA